AGCCAACCCCCCCAAATTACAACACTGTGATATGCCCCCACAGAGCAAAGCTCAACATGAGATGGGATCACTAAAAGTGGGGTGAATTTGGAGGTGTGAATCTGAGCAAAGAAGGTGTCACAAGGTTGTTTTGGCAGAGCCTCAGAAGACAGAAAAGTACCTTCTAGAAGGACAAAGTTTAGGGAGGAATAAATGGGAAAGAGAAGGCAGAGTATCCCAAGCAGAGAAAACCATCTACATAAAGCCCAAGAGACGCCAAAGACAAGCATCAATGAAGTCAGACAAGCAGGGTGATGTCAGACCCTAAGGGCCTTGGGTACCAGTGTGAGGAGTTAGGATCTGTCACATGGCCTTTGCACAGGAGGTGACAGGATCAGCACTGGAAGACACTTTGGAGTAGTCAAGGGTCGACTAAGTATGGAATGGAAGCTACTGGGAGGGAGGGCAGTCCTGGGGGCTGATGGGAACAGGAGGGCCCAACAACCCAGACAAGCAGGTTCTGTTGGTGCTGGGACCTGGATCCTTGGTGATAACCACCAGGGCAGTACCCAGATAAGCCTGTGACCTTTGAACTCCTCTTATATCAGCAGACAGTGGGTTTAGTCTAGATGAGCTGAGCCCTTGTCTAGCAGTTATGGGATGAGCACAGACACAGTGGCACATAAGACATGGGCTACCCTGCCCGGCTTACAGTCAAGCTTGTGTGGGTGTATACCTGTGTGTATGTGTGTGTGTACCCACATGCATGTGGAGGCCAGAGATCAACACTGGATGTCGTTCTTTAGGAACCATCCACCTTTTTCTATTTTTAAAAAATATTTTAAGTGTATGAATGTTTTGTCTGCATGTATGTAAGTGCACATTGTCATGCAATACCTGTGGAGGCCAGAAGGTGTCAGATCCCCTGGAACTGGAGTTGTGGATAGTTGTTAGCTGCCACGTGGGTGTTAGAAAGCAAACCTGGGTCCTCTACAAGAGCAGCCAGTGTTCTTAACCACTGAGCCAATGCTTGAGCCCCTTCTTTTCTTTAAAAAAAATTTCTTTTACATTACATTTATTTATTTATTTATTTATTTATTTATTTATTTATTTAATCTATGTGTGCGGGTGTGTGGGGTACAGTATGCATGTAGCGGTCAGAGGGTAACTTGTAGGAGTTGGTTTTCTCCTTCCAACAAGTCCCAAGGATGGAACTCAGGTCTTCAGGCTTGGTGACCTTTACCCACTGAGCCATCTAGTTGGGCCCACCTTGTTTTCTTGAGAGAGCTCTCTCACTGAGACCTGGGACTCTCTGAGTGGGCCTCTAGGCTGGTTGGTTAGTGAGCCCAGAGGTCCTCTGTCTCTGAATCCCCAGGTGGAGGATTAGAGACCTGTACCACTATGCCCAGCTTTTCACATGGGTTCTAGAGATCAAACTCGGGTCCTTACGCTTGCATAAACCCTACTGACTGAGCTATCCTACCGAGCTAGTTTCTTACATTCTCCAAGCCAGTGTGCTGTCTTGTAGGGCTGGCTGGGGGTGAAGAATCAACCCACAAAAGGTATTTAGAAGAGTGAAACACAGTCCTAGCAAGCAGCAAGTGGTGGACTAAGCTGCTCTTGTTGAAAAGGAATGGAGTCTCTCCCATTCCTAGGAGTAGGCTTAATGGAACTTTCCTATGAGACTGAAAATGACCAGGTTCTTCACGCCCGGGGTTAATTTCTACGTGTTTCCCAGACCTAGCAAGGCTACACAGAATTAACTGCTGATGCCTGAAGTTCTACTTCTCCTGGATAGCCAAGTTCAGCAACCTGAGGAGGATCCTGTGCCATCTACCACTGCAGCACCAGGATAATCCAGCCTAGGCCCAAGCTGCCTGATGCCAGAGCTGGGCTCAGGGCCGTGCAGGTATGGAGAACAAATCCTGCCTCAGATAAAGAACATCCCTGCTCACCCAGAAGGGCTTCTGTTTGTTTAATGGAGGTGCTGGGACTCCAATCCAGGGCCCTGTGCATGCTAGGCAGCTGAAATACTGTGAACTATGTCCTCATGTCCATTAGAAGGGCTTTGAGAGAGAGGAAGGAAAACCCTCTGCAAGTCTAAGCTCTCACTCTGGAAGGAGATTCTACCTCCCTATTCTGTTATAAACGAGTTAATCTAAATACTTAACACACATTAAGCATGCAAAGGACTTAGAGAGGATTTTACTCAGCCTTCTTGGGCCAATTAAATAGGTATGGTGTTCAGTGGATTGAGTAGCTATAAATACAGAGAACTGTAGCTGAAAAAATTCTAAGAGCTAGGCATGGTGGCACATACTGTAAATTCAGCACTCAGGAGCAGCTGGCTTCCAGAATTCAAGGCCAGTTTGGGCTGGGCAGTGAGAAAAGAAACAAAGCAAACCAAAAAAAATTAAGAAAAATTGTGCTGTTCTCCTTAGCATGAAAGGACAAAAGACACTTCACATTACGACACACTACATAAATGAGGCAGAAACGGGTCCTTTTAGGATGGCTTGAGGTCCCTTTGCCTCCATTCTGGCTAAGCCAGATCCTGTAGGACCACCAGCTTGTTTACAGATCTGATGTCCATCCATCCATCATGGATAGAATGCCCGGTGGTTGAAACTCTTTCCAGAAAACCCCAATAAGTGAAATTTTATCACAGCATTGCTGACCCCAAATTAATAAAATGGGAGGTTCTAGCGGCATTGTTTAGCTTCCATTTGTCAAGGTTAGCTGTGATATTAGGCAGACCGGTAAGCTCTGGGGAGTAACTAGCACCTTATTAAGTTATAAATACATTTAATGGCTTTTGTACTGGTTTCTTATTTTGGAATATGAGGAAGAAAAAAAAAAAAAAACAACAACTCACAATCAGGACTCGTAATCACTCGACTAAGTAAAAAGCCAGTGGCTTTTGTACTGGTTTCTTATTTTGGAATATGAGGAAGAAAAAAAAAAAAACAACAACTCACAATCAGGACTCGTAATCACTTGACTAAGTAAAAAGCCAGTATTGTTTTTTTTTTTGGTCTTTTTGAGACAGGGTCTCCCTGTAGCCCCAGCTGTCCTAGAACTCACTATGTAGACCAGGCTGGCCTTGAACTCACAGAGATCCGCCTACCTCTGCCTCCCAAGTGCTGGGATTAAAGGCAGCGCCACCACACCGGCTTAAAAAAAATCACTATTTTTAAATTGGGGATTTACCTACAACACACACCGCTTCTGAATTATCTTTTGTGGGGCTGCAAGTGTCCTGACACAGGACAACTGCAACTCTCCTAGAATTGCATACAGCTATTTGCACGGCCCAGCTGGTTTATCGGCTTGGGAGAAGTTAAAAGTGATACAAGACCTGAAACTCAGATTTTTCAGTTTTGACTCAAACTAGATGAACTAGTTCAGAGAAAGAGCACAGCCCTCTCCCCACCCCCACTGCCTTGGTGTTTTCTCCTTAAGGGAAATGCATGCCCAGCTCCACTCGCTCAACTTCAGTTTTTCTGTTTAGTTTTGCAGCGCTGGGCATGGACCCCAGGGCCTCCCTTGCTAAGCAAGCACTCAGCACTTAAAGGACACGTGAGCAGCCTTTTCCTTCATTGATTTGCACCAAGAAAGAGCATAAAGTAATTCACCCGATAAGCACCTCTTGCCACCGCAGGCTTGAGCTTACCTCATTTCCAGTGGCTGACCTGCCCCTGGGTCCACCAGACTAGGCCAATTCTGGGGCTGTGTGCCCAGCAGCCAGCAGGGATGAGGATGGTCTCGAGGAATGCTTCAGTGGCTTGATGGGAAGCGGTCCCTGAGCCAGCTATGAAGGAAGCTAAATAAACCACACAGGTGCTATAAGCTCCATATGGGTACCACCCCTCACATCCCACCCCCTTCTGTTCCCAAACGTGCCACCCCTTCTCTGCCTAGTGCTCATGAGCTGCAGACTCTAGCCCCTCGATCTCCACCCTGGGGGGATGTGTACTGTGTCACTGCTTCCTAAGTGGTCACCACTGCACTGTTGGCCAGCAGCGTCCCCCCAAAGGGTCCCCAGGAAGAGATCATGGTGGGGGTCAGTGGAGTCACCATGGTGCAGGTGGGAAGCTGTCTGCCTGAAGTCAGGATGGCCAGCCCTCACCTCAAATAAAGGTTAGACAGGGTCTTCCGGAGCGACTTCTTCCTCACCTAGAGAACGGCTGAGTGAGCTGAGGCAATCTGGAGCTGGCTTCAGAATCAGCAACAGGGAGGACGACCACCTCACAACAAACATGGTAACAGAAGGTTTGTGTGGGAAGATGGTTAAGTTTGGTCTAAAACAAGCAGAGTCTCTGGTAATGAGCTGTTGTTAGGAAATACGTGGGGCCTCTGAAAGGCTGTGGCTGCCTTTCCAGGGCTAGGCTTTTTAAAGAGAAGGAATGCAAGGGGGCAAAGACCCAACTGAGGTGCGGGGGCGCATTGCAGAGGGGCCTTATGGGCCTGCTCTTGAATCCAGGCACCACTTATCTTCATCGGGCAACCTTTGGGAAACACCTGCCCTCTCTAAGCACAGCTGGCTCATCTGTGAGGAGGATACCTAAGGTTATCAGCAAGGCTCCCGGTAGGAAGCAGACAATGACTGAGGGCTGGTAAAAAGCAGGGACTCAGGACCAATCCTGAGCTTGAAGAGACAAGGGGAGGATATGGTACCAAATGCCAAAGTTGCCTAACTGGAGCTGTGGCCCTGGGCCGAGAAGCCCGCACCTAGAGGGAGCCTGGCACAAGTCTCCCAACTCCTTCATCAAGCTCCTCCCAGCTTAGCATCTCCAGTGGTTCCTGACCAGACAGGGAGGGCCAGGGCAGCAACAAGAAGCCTGGCAGGGGGTCCCAGTGAGATAACCATCACAAATACCCTTTGCTAGGATAGGTCACTCACAGTTCTGGGGATCAGCCAATATTCCATTTCCATATCGAAAGGCAATGACACCACTTTAATCTTAGGCTACCAAAGGCAGATGGAAAATAAATAAAGAGAGGAAAAACAAAAACGAAACTTTTTACAAAATGGACAGATAACATTTATTAAAACATGTCATACAAAAGAGTGTGATCTCTTCTATAAGAAGAAAATATCAAACGGTAACATTCAGTTAAGTAAAACCATGCTGTACACTGAAGACAGCAATCATATAAAGTCAGAACTATTCAACTTTTCAACACAGGCATAACATTTCACAAAATACCAATAAGATATGCACCTAATGATAACCTGTTTATCATCAAACGGTTCTGTGGCCTAAGAATCACCTGACTTGCATAAATAAATTTTTCTTGAAGAAACATTGGGGACCTCATAAAAAGGAAGGAGCAGCAGCTACTGACATGACACAGGCTTCAAGCAAAATTTAAAAAGGAAAAAAAATCACATTTGCAAAATGTGTTCCAGCATCTTCCCATAGGGCACTATCAGTAGAGATTTGAAGAAACTAGTACCTTTAAATACGTAAATAGCAAAAAAAAAAATGAAAACAAAACCCACATCAACCCTGGATTCACTGGCTAGTTAGTTACCTATGAGAGCATCAACCTGTCCCTGTCTCTGGTATTCCCAAAGTATCAGGGCTTAGAGAACAAATTCCTCATCTGTGGCAGAGGCCCCACTCCACCCTGAACCTGGGCAGCAGCTCACCCTCTCCAGAAAGCACAGTCTGCATGGCTTCTGGATTTCAACTTCCCTTCCACACCAGCTAAGGGTGTGCCACCCTCTATAGGGAGGGGCCCCTGGGACCTGCAGCTTTCCCAAATAGCTAGAAGGCTGCCTAGGGTCAGTGTAGCTCAGTGACTATCTCCTGAAGTGGAGGAGACCCTTTGGAGCAGGCTTTTAATAACAGTGGCCTAAAGGGGAGGGAGCAGGTGAGATCTAGAGACAGGAATCCACAGGTCAGGGCAAGGGCAGAAGTCACCACATTCCTTCCTTAGCTGGCCCACAGGGCTCACTTAAGATGCTCATCAAAGATTAAAGGCATGGTACACACAGAATATGAAACAACACCACCGGAGGGGCCTTGAAGCCCTTTCCTACTGGGCCTGGAGAAAAACTAGTCAAGACCCAAAGGAGGAAACAAATACCTTGGTTGTAGGCCATCGGAATAATCCCTGAAAGGTTGGGAAACGCTACCCACAACTTATTCAAGTTCTTTTGGAAGGATAAGGATTTCCTGAAGTTGGGTTGAGGCTAAGGGAAAGACTTCAACTGCAAAGAGGGGAGAGGATGGAAGGCAGGCAGCAATGTGCTATGTCGGCCTAACCCTAAAAGGCTGTTTAGGAACCAGGAACGCTCACTTTAACCTCCAGCCTAAAGCTACTCCTCTGCCTCCAGGACACAGCCAGCACTGCACACACTCCACCTTTACACCGGGTCTGCCTGGTGACAGCCATACTCCTGCTCCACAAAAGCTTGTTGTCATCAAGCAGGGCAAGGGTGCTGATTCAGCATAACCCAAGGACCACAATGTTCCTGTATATTAAAGGCTCCAATGCTCACAGGAATCTATAGACTTCGACAGGAAGCAGCACATGACCTTCTCAAGAGGCAGCTTCTCTGCCTTTGTGTGGAAAGTAGCAAGAGCAATAAAATCCTTTCTCCTCACATAGTTTAGGATCAGCCCTAAAACCCACTGGCTTCTAACATGGGAAACTCCGGAGGTGTGTGAGCTTGATTGTACAGTCACCTGTACACACTCCTCAGGTGCATACGGAGAGGACTGCTGACTGGCAAACTTTCAACACTAAGAGATTATACTAATGTGGCAAACAACCAGGAGGTAATATTTAGTTTCTAGGTTAAAAAACAAAAACAAAAAATATATTATGATAAAGTTTTAAATACAAAGTGCTTTTTATACATCGAGAATGATACAGTGTTAGTGAACAGATCCCTGTTTTGTAATCCTGATCACCTGTTAACTGGCAAATCTGTATTTTCATTCCCCTTTCTAGACACTGTTTGATCAGTGAAGTCTTGGGGTCAGGAGCCTAAGGATCAGAGCCACTGCCAGCAATGTCTGTCACCTTCTAGAGAAAGCCAAACCTGTAAGTCAAAATTTCACCCCAAATCCAAGAAAAAATTTATTTTTATTTTAAAATAGGAAGAGTTTCTACTTAAGCAGTAATAGAACAGTAAGTTTATGGAGAGATAAGAGTGATTAACACCCTGTCCTATCGTCTTAAGTCAGCCTTAACTGTCCATGTGACACAACCAAGAATCATCTGAGAAGGTAGTCTCAACCGAGGGACTTCCCAGGCCAGGCTGGCCTGTGGGCTTGCCTGTGAAGGACTGTCTTGATGTTAACTGATGCAGAGGGCCCAGCCTATGGTGGGTGGTGCTGTTCCCTGGGCTGTGGGAGAAGGCAAAGTAGTTATGAGCCTGCCAGTGAGCCAGCAAGCAGTGCTCCCCCATGGTTTTTGCTTCAAGCTCCTGTCCTGACTTCCTTCAATGATGAACTGTGACCTGGAAGTGTAAGCCGAAATAAATCCTTTCCTCCCCTAAGTTGTTACTGGTCAGACTGTACTGTCATAGCAACAGGAATCAATGTAGAACACCTACCCTGGTAACAACCTCTGGAGTCACACTGCTTCAAAGCACCCTGAACATATGCCTTCTTCTGAACATCCAACATCCAACCCCATGATAGAGAAGGTCTCAGAAGAGCTGCCTTTCTTGTTCTTTGCTGGGTGAACAGCTACTTGGACTTGTAAATTTATGTAGCTCTATCTGTGACTTGGGAGCATGAATCTGTAGACTGTTTTGCTAAAATTAGGACTCCTTTCCCCCTTTTTAACCCATATCTCAGCATTCATAAAGAACTGAGAGTTTAGCTCAGTGTACCCTCTAAAACAGTACCCCCAGTGTATTTTTGAGACTCTTCTTTTTTCTAAATTATAACCTGCCATTTTTAAGATTCTGCCCCTCCCAAATCTCTGACTATGGGAGTGTCCCACTCATAGGCGACTCTTAGCCATGTGGGCTGGCTCGGTCCCATGAACCGTGGTCCCTGGCTGTCCTTGTTGAGAAGCACCATGATCTAAGACAGGCCCACAGCCTGGGCACTGTTTGGTACTGTGGTAGGTCATGGCAGGCTGGATATCTCCTAGCACAAGGGGGACTTGGAGCCAACAAACCAGCTTGAAACACCTATCTCTGGCACCCAAGAGAATTACAAGTAGATACAATAGTTCAAGCCCAATTTAGTACTAAATATAAAACTGTGGCTTATCAAGAGACGAACGCATGGTATCGGCAGCATCATCCAGAAATCAAGGCTTGTACCATGTTACTTAGGAAGTCAGTTTTAGTTAAAATACCCTTTAGAGAGAATGAAACCAGACAAAAGAGCTCTATCAACCTCTCATCCTCGGGATCACGTTATTTGTAGCTTTTAGGTAAGGACCCTCCAGGGAAGCCACTACCAAAACAAATCCACAGAAGCTAAGTAGTTACCGTAACAACAAAATAACATTTCAACATGACCTCGTAATAATGAGTGATCACAACTGCTGCTACCTAGAACGGAACTGGAGTGGGAGTCCAGGCCCTCCTGCAGGTGTCAATCGCCAGGTGCACCTGCCTTAATCAGAGCTGGCCTGACGGGTTCTCTTGCCACCTGGACACTGGGTGAACTTATCCTCATCACCCATTCTAGGCCAGGGCCAGAACATAGAAATTTGAAGAATTAAATTTTTTAATTGGCCTACTTAGAGCTGGTCTTTCAGAAATATCTTCCTTTTTTTTTAAGCTTCTCTCATAATAGCAAGTAGCACGCATCATCTGTGCCCAGATTTGCATTAATTACCATAGTTTATTTTTGTGCACGCCACTCAAGGGCCAGACCCTATTTTTAGTTAGCCTCGGTTGTATTCTGCTCAGCCTTTGCAGCTTCGTACGACTTGGTACAAGAAGTCACATGCCTATGGAAGCTGTCCCTCCACATGAATCTCTTTGCACAGATATTACATTCGTACGGCTTTATGCCCGTATGAATTTTCATGTGGCCCACGAGATGGTGTTTCATTTTGAATTTTTTACCACAGACACCGCAGCCATAAGGCCGGAGGCCGAGGTGCATGCTCATGTGCCGGTCTCTCTGACTCTTGTGTGTGAAGCTCTTCCCACACTGACAAGGATACAGCTTGTCGGTGGCCGAAAACCCTAAGTGGGAAGCTTCTTCTTTTATCCCCGTCACCATCTCCATGTTCTCACTGTAGCCGGCGGTGAGGGCTGCCTCCTGTCTGTGCCCAATTAGATTCCCATCTGACCTCTCTCCAGAAAACTCTTCCATGGAGGAGCCGTAGAAGTCCACCTGCTCATCGTAGGTGCTTTCCTCGGCCTGGTCGTCAAACTCTGCCTCCACTTTCTTCTCCCCGACGTGGAAGCCCTCCTCCACGCCCGAAGGCTGGGCCAGGTGCTCTGTCTGCATGGCGTTGATGGACTCGGTCACCTGGTGCTCGTCATAGGCTGCGTGCACATCCATGCCCTCGCAAGCCTGCTCCAGGCGCTCGGGCTTCACGTGGATCCAGCGCTTGTGAGCCATTATGCTGGGCTTGCTGTACATGGGCCGGGTGTAGTGGAACTCCGCGCTGTCGCTGGCCCCCTCCTCCCCATCCTGGCTCGCCATCTCGGTGCTCAGCCGGTCGTGCTCAGTGGATGAGTTACTAGGCAGGTACTCATGCTCAGTGAGCTGAGATGACAGCTCGTCTTTGGTGCTCTCCTCCTCGTTCTCACCGTCTCTCAGTTCCTGGGTTTTGGGGAAATCAGCGTGGCCCCCAGAGCCCAGTTCAAAGCTCTCTACCAGGCCATTGTAGCTGCTGCTGCTGGGGGACTGGTGGTCACTGCCGTGGTTCAGCTTCTGACACAGGACTGCTGGGTTTCCCTCCAAGACCTCGGTGCACTTGTCCACCACGTGCCACATTTGGAGGAAGCTGGCCGCTGTTAAATAACTAACAATTTCTGGAGCAGGCATTACCAGGCGTCCTGTGTAACTAGACAGGAGAATGCTTTCAAACACTCTGGGGTTCATCACATCAGGCAAAACAATTCTCCGACTATTTTTCAGGAGTACTTGGTCACAAAAGTAGGGTGAACTGGCGGCAAGAACTGCTTTGTGTGCCCGGAAAATGTGGCCTTGGACAACAATGGAGACGTCACATAACTGTCCTTGCTGGCGTTGCTGGTTCAGTTTCTGAAGAATGGTGCTGGAAAAATCCGGAAATTCTACTCGAAATGAGTTTGTTCCAGGCTCCATTTCATCACAAATCTTGTTCAGTGCTGCAAGAGAAAGAAGGTTAGTAATAATTTTAGCCTCAAAAGGAACAACCTACCCCCTCCCCTGGCACTAAGAACACAAGCTCTAGAATCCTACAGAGTCCCTTGCCTCTGGGCACTCTCGGCTGGGCCTGGAGGCCTTGCAGGTGTGAAGGTGCCCAAAGGAAGAGCCACCCACCACCACTGCCCAGCACTGACTGGATTTTGCCTGTGTCAGAGAAGCACCCACAGTGACCACATACAAATCCCCTAAGTGAAATAAAGTAACTATTTCAAATCAAAACAAACAGGATTCCTAGGGAAACAACTGAACTGTAAGCCTCAGCTCAACTTACATTTGCCAAGTTGCAGAAAGAGAGGGACAAAAGTGGTAGAGCATGTGTGTCTCTAGGTTCTATTCCCTGCTCCAAAGATAAAAGAGAAGAAATGAATTATGGGAAGAAGGGTAGGTGTATGTCAGAAGGAACCAGTCCCACACTGAGGATCTGAGTTTGTAGCCCTGGACCACATCCATGCGAAACTCTGGGTGTGGCAGCAGACATCTGTAACCTCTAGCACTGGGGGGGTGGGGACTGGGGGACGAGGGGGATGGGACACAGGGACATACACGGACAGAGGGATCCCTAGAGTTCAGGGGCCAGCCAGTCTAGCCATTGGTATGCTCTGGGTTCAAGGAGAAATGGGGACCACAGGATGGGGACCACAGAGGACACCTGAGGACAACCTGTATACACACACACACACACACACACTCACGAGGATGATGACTAGGCTAGAGTTCAGGGAAGAACTGAGGAACAAGGCACTGGAGACCCAGGATAAGGACAACTGGACCTTTTAACACTTCAGTCTTTTAGCACCAAAAGGTACTTTTCTGGGCTGAACAATGCAGACTACTCTAGTGGTTGTGGGGATTTTAGCTTGAGAACCTCCTACACTGTCAGGCACAAAGAATGAAACTGCAGGGGCTGAAGAGATGGCTCAACAGTTAAGAGCACCTGCTGCACTTACAGAGGGTCCAAGCTCGATTCCCAGCACCAACATCCAGGCAGCTTATAATTGCCTGGAACTCCAGCTCCAGGGGGATCCAATGTCTCAGGACTCTGTGGGCAACCTGAGAAGTGTGGTATTCTTTCTCTCTGGCTGTCTACACACTATTTCAAGAGTTATAGACTAGGATGGTCACTACTGTCCCTGCCGCTGGACTCAATTAGAAGATGAAGCATCGGCACACAATGGGGATTGCCTGTGCTGCTGCTGTATTCTGTGGGACACGTCCTGCATTAGACAATTCCTAAGAGCAGCACAAGAGGAGCTCCACTAGAAATCCTGCAGGTGGCCCTGATTCTGCAGTACATGCAAGTGGGCAAGAACACCCACAACAGGGGCTGCAGAGAGGGCTCAGTGGGCAAAAGTGCTTCCCATGCTATAACTGAGGACAGGAGTTCCAATCCCCATAAATGCTAGGAGGGTGTGGCGGCTACCCATACTCCTGGTTGAAATAAGAGCTCCCCAGAGCAAGCTGCTAGTGTGACCAGCCTAATGGATGAGCTCTAGGTTCACAGAGACCCTGGCTCAATAGAGAAGTTGAAGAGTGACCAAAGAAGATGCCTGACCTCAACCTCTGGCTTCCATACACATGTGCCCATATATACATATGTGCATGATTATACAGACACACATGCATACATGCATGCCCTTACCCGTTCATACACACAAAATGAAACCTACCAAAGCATTTATCACTGCTGTTTTGTCACCTTGCTCTAATACTGTAACCAAACATCCGTGAACACCAGGCTTTCTCAGTATGAGATAAAGAGCCAGACAACTCAAGCAAAGATTAAAGCCTTTCTGTGACAGGGAGAGGTGACCAGAGGGAGAAACGACGGTGTCTTGAGTAGTTACTCTGTGCCAAAGATGGTAGACCATTTTCCATGCAGCTTTGGTGTCAGTTTGTTTTTGAGATGGAGTCTTACTATATTTTCCTGGCTGGCCTGGAACTTGCTCTGTAGATCAGACTGTCCTTAAATTCAGAGATCTGCCTATCTCTGCCTCCTGAGTGCTAGAACTAAAGGCAGGGGCCAGCAGGCCTGGCTCTTTTATTTTTTTAATTATTTTTATTTCTCAGTCCTAAGGAATAAACCCAGGGCTTTGTTCTACCACTGGGCTACAAGCTCAGCTTCCATTCAGACTGTAAAATCACTGTGTAAATGTAGGGCTTGGTATTCTTAAGTTCAGTTATTTTAAGTAACTTTCCCTAAGTTAAAAGCTCATTTTTACTAAGTTGAGAGCTGAATCTAGGTCAGTGTAACTCCAAAGCCCAGTACTTTTCCTATCACAACACTCTGCTTCCTTCAAGAGGCCCAAATGCCAGATTAGTTACTAATCACTTAAGAAGATAAGACAGTGTTTTTTAGAACAAAGTATGAACTTATGGCTTTAGACATCTTAAAACATTTCACAGTAAACTTGAAATTGAGAATAGAGCATGGAACGAACTATGTAAGGTTTGTAGTTTGAAAGGAGATGCTGTCTACACATCTGTACAGACTGCAGGTCTGCATGTCAATCTGAGGCTGAATCCGGGTGAGCAGCTTGTCTGGCGGCTTGCATCACTGCAGAATTTGGGTTGTAACTATCTGAAAAAGAGGGGAAGGATAGTGTACTAGCATGTAAAAAAAATTACAGGATGGGGCTGGAGAGATGGCTAAGTGGCTGCTCTTGCAGAGAACCAGGTTCAGTTCCCAGAACTCACATGGTGGCTAACAACCATCCCTAACTCCAGTTCCCACCCTCTTCTGGCCTCTGCAGGCATTGCATGCACTAGTGCATTTACATGTATGGAGGCAAAACACTCATGCACATAAAATAAAAAGTTTTTAATTACAGGAAGGATAATGCATGCACAGGTAAAGAAATTACAGAAAGGCACAAAACGACTTTCCACCTTTATTCCTAGTCTCCCCAAAGAAAATTACCAAACTCCTGTACTGTCATTCTAGAACTTGTTATATGCATGTCAGAATAATTTTTTTTTTTTTGAGACAGGGTCTCTCTGTGGCCCCAGCTAACCTGGAACTATGTAGACCAGGCTGGCCTTGAACTGAAGAGATCTGCCTGCCTCTGCCTCCTGAGTGCTGGGACTAAAGGTGTGCACCACCACTCCTGGCCAGAAAAAAAATTATTTTAAAATCTCTGCATAAATGGGTTCATTGCCTAATTTCACTCTGCACCTAATTTCTGACATTTACTGCGTCTCAAAGGTCTTCCCATGTGAGCCCTGAGGAGTTGAAGGTTCTGTTTCTTGTCAGCACAGCCTCCTGGAGCATAGGCGCACCCTGACTTAAGCAGCTCTCCTTTACTGATTCTCATTCTCCTGGGCTTCTGAACTGTAAGCAATGCTACAATGGAGGCTGTCTCCCAATTGACTGGTTCCTCCAATGGGCAGGGCCTGACACACAGCGGGAACTAGGAAGGGAAGCCGAGAGCCATCTTGGGATGGAAGCCAGGAGCCGCAGGTAGAGCGTGATGGTGTAGGAAACTCGCAGCCAGCACAGCAACTCAAAGACAGAATGGACTGACCCCCCTGTGGAACTGGGGTGAGGTCGATGACCCCTGAGGCATGAGCAAATGTTAGTGGGGCTATGGGCGTGGCATGGTCTGATAAGGCGGGCTCTGAGTTGTGGAGGCACAGGGCTAGGCACTGGGTACTCATTCCTTTGTAAGTTAATAAACTCACATAAAATGTATTATATGGTTTGTCTGATCGCGCAGGGGACCCAGAGAGAATTCAGGCCACAGAGGCTGATACCTAACTTCATTGGCACACCTCTGAAATACTTAGCAGTGCAACCGTGCGTCAAACAGCTTTGCATTTCACACTCTGATTTATATTATCAAGCCATTTCCTAGAAAACTGTACTGAGCCGCACCCCCACTAATAGTAAATGACACTGTCTACATCCTACATCCTCACCAAGACTGGATTTTACTAAACCAGACTTCTTTTTTGTTTTTGTCTTTTTGAGACAGGGTCTCCCTGTAGCCCCAGCTGTCCCGGAACTCACTATGTAGACCAGGTTGGCCTTGAACTCACAAAGATCCACCTGCCTCTGCCTCCCAAGTGCTGGAATTAAAGGCGTGCGCCACCACACCTGGCTCAGGCTTCTTTTTCAAAAAAATATTTTATTTATTATTTTTATTTTATGTGTATGTGTGTTATTGTCTGCAGGTAGGTAAGTGCACCCATGTCGTGCAATGCCTGCGGAGGTCAGAAGAGGCTGTCAGATCCCCTGGGACTGGAGTTATGGACAGTTGTTAGCTGCCATGTGGGTGCTGGGATTCGAACCCAGGTCTTCTGTAAGAACAAGTGTTTGGTTTTTTTAAAAAAATATTTTATTATTTTATGTGTATGAGTGTATTGCCTGCATGTATGTGAGTGCACCTGTGTCGTGCAATGCCACGGAGGTCAGAAGAGGGCTTCGGATTCCCCTGGAACTGAAGTTAAGGATGGCTTGTAGCAGCCATGTGGGTGCTGGAATTGAATCCAGGTCCTCTGTTGAGAGTAGTCAGTGCTCTTAACTGCTGAGCCACCTCTCCAGGCCTAAACCAGACTTCTTTAAAAATTTTTAAAAAAAGATTTTATGTGTTATGTATGTGTTATGCCTGCATGTATGTAAGTGCACCCGTGTCATGCAGTGCGTGGAGGACAGGAGAGGGCTTCAGATCCTCTGGAACTAGAGTCATAGATGATTGTTAGCTGCCATGTGGGTGCTGGGATTTGAACCCACGTCTTCTGCAAAAACAGTCAGTGATCTTAACTGCTGAGCCACCTCTCCAGCCTCCCCCTCTTCCAGTCTGCTTTTCAGATCTCCTCAGTGAATGATCCCTGACTCATGGCTCTTCTGACCTGCCCCTCCTTTATAATGAGCATGACTGATATTCTGGATTCTAGTTTATTGGTCATGTGTACTTTTTTCTGTAAATTTTCAGTTATACCCTTTGCTCAAATAAACTGGGCAATTAATACTGGTTAATTTAAATTTCTTTATACATTCAGGGAATTTCTTTTTTCATGGTTCTAGCGTTGTATGTTAGACAGAGGGCATTATAAACTTCACGACTTTTTTAAAAGAAAAAGAATTACTTAGGCTTTCCTGATACCATTAAAAAGTCATTTAAACCTTTTAATACATGGAATTTATTTGGCATAAAGATTGGCTAGAACCTAGTCCTTTTCCCTCTAAAATGGCTAGCCTATCTTTATAACTCCATTTATTGAACCCATCTTTTTCTCATAAAGTTGAAGTATCTGTTGTAGAATTCTAAGACATTTAAAAATAGTTCTATAGAACTAAATACCATAAACAAGTTTTTTGGAAAAAGAGGGACCCCTGGTCCCCCAGGCCTTGCCCCTCAGATATAACCAAGCAACTGGGAAAAGACCAGAACCACACCACTCTATAAGTGCACCAGACACTGAGTGATGGAGAGGATCCTGAGTGGGAAAGACTGCTGAATCTGAGGAGGGAGGAACTCACTCAGACCCATAGCTCTTGGGGGCAGGGGGCTACTCCTAACCCCACCCCAGTCCCTCAGCCCTGCCCTTGCTGGTGGGAGTTCTGGTGGCTCGCATTCCTAAGGAGGACAGTCTGCATTGTGTCCTTCAAACATCTGGAGCTGTGCAGTTGGGCCAACCTACGAGACCCAAGTAGCTTTGTTCTGCCCCCCTCACTGCAGTGACTTTCCCAGCAGCAACTGTCAAAAGATTTAAGGAGAGATGGGTGTGGTTGCACCTATCGGTAATCCCAGAGTTTGGGGAGTGGGGTGCTGAGGCAGGAAGAGTGAAGTATGAGGTCAGCCTGGCTACACACCAGCCTCTGTCTCAAAAAACAAACACAAGATCCTTCGACACACCTACCCATCCCACTACAGGTGGTTCATTGGCTGACTAGAACATATAAAACAAAACTGCATGACTGCATACAAC